CTAATTTTTACAAAACTATTTCTGGATCTTGAATAGCTGTAATTAATTGTAAAAAATATTTTAACTTATTCTTCTCACAAAATTACATGGAAAAAATATTTCTCATTACCTATTTTCTTTAAAAAATGTTGCTAAGTAGTAAGAAACAGAACTTTAATTTCATTGTATTAATTTTTTATTTGTTAATTTTATATTGAATGCAATTTATTTTATATTGAAATAAACTGTAAGTAATGTATTCAAATATACCAAATAAATATAAAAATAAATGAATAAAAAATTAGAAATAATTTTTAATAAATAAATTAAAAATGAATTTAAACTTAGTAAGGCCAGATGTACTTTAAAATAAAATCTTACAATATGCCAAGACAAAATACTATAATATATTTTGGTTAAACTTAAGTACTATTTCTCGCAAAAGCAAAAGTTTTTTTCTTTCTTAATAAATAAGGGGTATCAATTAAGATCAGCATTCTGCAAGCTGATTAAAATAACTTTGACCAATAATGAATACATTATAATATAACAATTGTGTATATTTGTGTTTTTTACTATCCCATTATTTCTAATTGTTTCACTATTTCCTTTTTTAATTAGTCAGAACAAAGACTAGTCACACTATATTATTTGATATAACAAATTTTTTATGAAAAGCGAAAGTTTATAATACGGTTCTTTAATTTAATCAAGCAAATTGGAACAAACAACAAAGACTTGAGCAATAAGTAAAATCTATCAGATGATACATAGGGCAAACATAATGCATAAAATACAATAATTAGTATGTTAGACTTAATGATGTTACACTAATTTATGTGCATTTAGAAATACTAAAATAACTTTAAATAAGTTTTCAAAAAATATTTACTTAAAGATGAAAATCTATTTATTGTATGTAATATATAATTAGTAATTTAAAATATGAACATACTTAAATATCTTTTCAATGCACTATAGTGTGAAAATTTTACTTGGAATCACTACTTACTTTGACAGAATTTCAAAATAGAATAATAAAAAAGTAAGATGCAATCAAGAGTAAATGTGGTATTTGTAATTAAAACAATTCTCTAACCTAAAAAAAGTTTATTTAGCCATATTTCAGCCTTACAAATCCTTTAGACATAACATTTCTCTTAAATGGAATGTTTAAATAAAGACATTTATTGGTAGCTTCAATTTTAAATTTGATTTAAATCCCAGTTTAAAACTGATATCTAATACAAACAAATCAAAATCAATTTCTTTAAATATAAATCAGTTATCCTACAGATTTCGATTGTTAAATATTATTGACAATGAAAAACTGCTAACAATGAATGTGCACAATAATTATATTTGGATAAGATTAAATAATAGCTAAGTAATTCAGGAAAAATGGGATTTTCTTGAGCATAAATACACTGTTTGGACTTTTTTCCTGTTATTACACAAGGGAAATTATGAAAGCATCAACAAAAGTAACACAGCATCTTTGAACATGTAAGATTAAGCACTATGCTAAATGCATTTAACAAATAAGAATTGTGTAAACAGGAAACTGTGTTTTACATAAGCAAAACTAGTAGAAAAGTTACACAAAATAAAAAATTGCATATAAGGAATCATAAGCTTAGAAAATACAAATACATCACAAACTATTTCTTGCCATCAGACTTAATGCAAGGATTAACAACTTCTGGTTATTTCAACTAGTAATTAGCAAAAACTTAAAAAAGAATGATGTTCTAGTTCAAAACAGCAAACTTTATAACTTACAGCACTTAAGTTTGATAACTATTAATGTCAAAGAGTGAAACATTATGAAAATAAAATAACTTTATTTTTAAAAAAAACTACTCATATTGAATCAAGCTCTCTTCATTTTGTTCATAAAAGTCACACATAAATAAGCTAAAAATAACAGCATGATATATAGCAAGACCTGAGCATACAAATACTAGTTTAAAAAAATATTTAGCAGCTCATAAAAAAATTTCAAAACCATCAGTATTGCCATTTCCAATAGTTTTATAAACAAATATTAAGATAAATCTTTAAATAAAATATTTACTGAAGATGTAAGATAAAATACACTGTTAAGGATATAAAAGCCTGTTAAGGTACATATGAACAATACTTAGGTCAAAGGTAATCATAAAGAGTATGAAAGCAATTATTTTTTAATAAAGCTGGAAAAAGCTATAGATATTACAATACAGAAAGCCTCTATTTAAAATGCATGAACTTCTTGCATTAGATATAAAATAACATATATTTCATAATGTTAGTGCACATGAAAGAAGAATTTGTGCGTTCATATTTCAAAAGATAAAGAATCATAAATTATACATATAAAAACCAAAAAATCTACGAAATGGAATATTTACAGCAAGTTTATAATCAGATATTAATGAAGTTTAAATGAATATGACATTTTGAAACAATATTAGTGAAAAAATGAAACTTTAAGTAACTGAGAAAAGCTGAAAATATACAGCAGTATTTTCATGGCACGTATTCAGATTTAAATCCATCTTCGAAAAAAATGGTAGCTTTAAGTTGAAAAAATACTTTTTGACTACTTTTGCTCAAAAATACTAATTAAAAATAGTTAAGTTTTACGAAGCATACATAAGTATATCAAATTAAGGAAAATATTTAAGTTTCATATTGCAAAATTAGTATTTTATATAGTTTGAAAAGCACCACAGTCTATAAACAAAAATTGAGAGAGTTATAATATAAATAATTCAAAAGCTTCATCAGTAAGTTAGCAAAGATGCAAATCTTTTCTCTATATTTGAGATAACTTTTAGATATGATTAAAGCGTCATATTAGGAGTCATCAACCCTTTGTGCCTAAGTGTCAGAGCAATAAATTTGAGAAATCAAAATCACTGCCACACATGCTCAATAACATAGATAAAGAGATTCAGTAAAAGGATAAGTATAACAATTATTTTTAGGGTAAGATGCAGTGGGTGTTCACTTTCTTGAAAATATAAACTAAACGTCATTCTCGGGCCACATGAAGTTAATCACTTTTCCACAATGTGTTCAAAGTTAGAAAAAGACTTCGTTCACAATTTTTTAATGAATAATGCAAAGAAAAGTGATCATGCCCGATCCACATTCACGAAGATTTGAATAATATTAGCAATCCTGTTTTCTACTCAGTAATAGAAAGAGACAATAATTTTCCACATGGCCCTTAAATTGCTTATGTATATTAAGATAGATATACAGATCTGAGAGGAAAAAAATAGAAATAAGGAATGAAATTCTAAAAGCAATTGCTTATTTATCTTTTGCCATTTTTAACTTTTTATTCCCTGCTGTTATAAGTGCTTGTGCAACAGCAACATCCTTAAATGATTTTCTTATTAGCGCAATTTCTAGGTGTTTATTGCTCTCTAATAAGTTGAAGTGCTGTATCTAAATTTTCCTTTAAAACATTCAACTTATTCTTAGGTGTTTGAGAAGTGACTAGTTCTGTAACTTTCCTTTCTTGAGATTTTAGTTCATATGAAATTGTTAAATTTGTGTCCTGCATTAGTTGAATTTTTCCACAATTAAAAATAGCTTATTTCTTGCAAAAATTGTAATACCTATAAAATTTATCTTTTCCCTGAAAACACTAAAGGCATAATTTATTTCCAGAATCATTCCTTAGATTTAACTGATCCACATTAAATTTTGTTTGTTTGAGCATTTTATAGAGAAAAAATATTATGTTCTCATCAAAAAATGTCTCAAAAAACACAAATGATAAATAAAAACTGAAAACAATTCACTACTCATTTAACTGCATGTGAAAATAGAAACATAAGAAAAGTAAAATAATAAATCTGCTTGATTTTTATAACTGTCAGCCATGAATTTTACACTCCTAGTTATCGCCTAAAAAAATAGTTTTTCTGCAGTTTTCTAATTTCATTTTTCAGCTATTGTTTTAAACTGAATTAAATAATTTGATGTGCAATCAAAATATCTCCCAAGTCACACATACAAGACCCCTACATTTTATTAATTAAATTTCTTAAAAAAATTACATGTTCATAATATAATAGTAACTTTTATAATTAAACTTATAAAATAGTTTGAAAAATTAACCTTGATAAATTTCATATTATATTTTTCATTCATTATCAAACTATTTTTATTACAATATTTTTTTTTTACAAAAATAAAATGAAATATCACATTGAACCTATGAGATATAAAAAATGCATTAAATAAAGATGATAAACAATTATTTAACATAGTTAAGGTTAGTTAACATAGTTAAAAAGAAAATTTCTATTAATTACCATATAAGAGAATCACTTTTAAATGAAAATACATGAAATAGCTTTGGTCCCAGAGGTTGCAAAATCAGTTTGAAACAAATAATTTGAAAGAAGCTAAAATTTATTTTTCAGTCTCATTTAGTTCTTTATCTATTTAATTTGTATTTAGATTGCTAAAAAATTTCTGAAGTTCAAATGGAAATGTAGAATTAAAAAAAAAACTTCAATCTGCTAGTGAGAAAATAATTTGCATCATTTCCAATCCATGGTTTCTGGTTTCTTAAATCAATGAACCACAAGGTATTCAAAAACTTTTAAGGAACCTTAATTTTTTTATCTGAATTTTCAGAGAAAACCCTAAATATAAGATGTTACCTAAATTTTTTTAATGTAGAGATTATTAAATGTTTTAACTATCCAACGAAATCTAAAACTTAACCATTCACCAATTTATTAGAGAACATTTTGCAAAACATGGGTCACTTTGGCAATGAAAATTTCCTTTATGAAAAAATAATATTCCATGCACCTCCATACAAGCACTGAGATATCTAATTCATTTGAAGTCAAAATACTTATAAAATTACATTCATACTGTACTTTAAAAACAAATGAAGAAAAACACCCAAAACTGTATATTTAAACAATAGAAAATCTATTTCAGCTAATCTGTTTTTCTTGATGCTTTTAAAGTTATATATAAATATATCATCTTTGTTTTAATTGTTTATCATTTAATGTTTGAACAGGGTATGTAAAACTATTTAGGGTAGTAAAAAGTTTATAAAAATAGTTATTAAATAAAGAAAAAACATCATGCAAAGAAACACAAATCAAAATCAAATCATACAAAATAATATCAATAGAAATTTAATTGAGGAAATTTTTTAAGAGATTAAAAAATTTTACAAATAACAGAGGTTACATTAATTTTAGAAATTGCTATGATTCTTTTACAAATATATTTAAAATAAGGTGATGAACACATTGTTGAATGCATCTATGTAAAGAAGGTAGTACACCTACATTTCTTTTTAAAACTTTAATAGTGTTTTAAAAATAGACTGCACTGTGTAAAATATAAGTATATAATAAAAATAACAAGTTTACTTATTTCGCCATTTCGTTTAGAAATTTACATTAATGCTAAAAATGAATGAAATTTAAATAATCCTTTCCTCTCACAAATCCTCTATAGCAAAATTAAGTTTTGGTTTTCGATAAAAAATTTTAAAAACAAATATCGGCATTTGTTGTTTGTTTTGCAAGTCGTATATTTCCTAAATTTAACCCATACTTTCAAAGAGAAAACTTATATTATATTAGAAAACTTATTTTACTGTGTAATAAAAATCTATAGAAGAATTTAAATTTCACAGATAATATAAAAAAAGTCCCTAAAATAAGTACTACTACTGAACTTCCTTTATACATCAATTCACAAATGTAAAATATTATGAGAGATAACAAGGTAATATAATATTGACCATACCCAAAATAAAAGATACATCTTAAATAATAGATTTTAGCTATTTTTCATTGTTTTTTTATTATTTTATTCAATAAGTATCTATCTTTAGAAAAATGAATTTTATAATTGTAAGCAAAACCTACTTGATTAGCTAAAAACTTTTCCAACTTAAGGCAAAATATGTAAAAAGTGAAATTAGCAGTAAAGAAACCAAACTTTTGATTGCTCTACTGCCTAAACTATTGGGACTAAATTTTCCATTCAATTAATCTCTATATTTTGAATTCAAAAATCCAAATCTGTCAAAAAAAATTATATGTTTATTCAGAGAAATTCCATTTTTGAGTTTGATTCTGTAAACTTCATTAACAGTTAGTACTAATTTATTAGTAATTGAGGTCAACCCCTTGAACTACTTTGATCGGCTTTTAGTGAAAATCCATTCATTAAAATTTAAGATGGTATTAATTAAGAGTTTAATTCTGTAAACTTCATTAACAGTTAGTACTAATTTATTAGTAATTGAGGTCAACCCCTTGAACTACTTTGTTCGGCTTTTAGTGAAAATCCATTCATTAAAATTTAAGATGGTATTATTTTTTATTTTGTGCACGTTTCTTACTTGTAATTTGCACAATAACACAAATTTGAATCATTTGTACAAATATTTTTTTAGGAATCCTTTCTTTTTTTGACTAAATACTACAAAAACTGGTTCATACAATGGAAAATAAGCCAGATCATAAACAGAACTTATTTTGAAGAGATTTTCGAAGGATTTTCATAAATGTGATTAGTAATTATCAGAATATATAAAAAAAACTTTCAGTGTTGTATTGAATAAACAATTAAAATTTACTTATGATTTCATAAAAGTTTAAAAACTTTCAAAACACAACAAATAATAATGGCATCGTAACATAATGTCAAACAAAATGCCTTATAATTTACAAAATAAATACATTTTGTGAAATAAGCCAACTGATATAAAGTAATTAAAAGCATCAAATGAAGTCACATAATATTTCAAAGCTTGAGCACCACTTTAAACAACTTAAAATAGATTTTTTGACAAATTGCATGTGCAGTATGACCTCGAAAATTCGGACTCTTACATCTAATTCGCCAGAAAAAAATTTCCAAAAAAAAACAAAAAGTCACTTAAAATAAAAATTTAAATGTAAGAGTAAGAAACCACAACTTTTCTCCAACAATGAAGCAGTAGATGAAGAGGTAGGGGTGGGGAATGAATGAAAGCATACAGCTTATATGGAAATTCCAGTCATTCTTATCAGCTCTGTATAGATAACAAAGAATATATAGGGGACTCCCCTCTTTGATAGATAAGGCTTGCAGGGGGAATTCTTCTACCACCTTGTTTTTCGCCTTGTTAAGAAAGAAAACTGGTTCTTTCTTAACCTTGAAGCCTAGGAGGCGGGGACAAATTCTTTCATCCCTCAACAAAAAAAGGATTAGTATCAGCTGGTACAGTGTAGTCGTGAAGCATCTGTTTCAGTTATAAGTTGAAATTCAGCTCTCGTTTCAAGCCTATATTTTTAGTTTTAATTGCTAATATTGTTATCTAAACAATCGATTACCTAGGAAAATGACGAAAATTTGATTTTTAATGTCCCTTATTTATTATTTAAAGTGTATATTTATGTTAAGTTGTTAAAATTGACGTCGGAGGTCTACACACGCACGTTTAATCATGAAATCAGCCTGGCGAATTCAAAGCTTTAATAATTCTATCAATTTAAGTAAGATATCTAAAATCTGGAAATTTCAGAAATCCGGACCTTTCAAACCCCCCAGCAGTCCGGATTTTCGAGGTTGCACTATATTAAAATGGTGTGAAAATTTGTATACCTTACAAATCTAAATTTTTCAACTCCAATGAAAAAAAATTTATTAAATTTTTTTACCTTGATAATATTTCGATCTTAGGACAAATGAATTTATTAATTGAGTGCAAAAATTTTTAATCTGCTAAAAAATTTCCACCCAATGGCAAAATATTCAACAAAGTGAAATTAACAGTAAGTAAACCGAACTTTCAATTGTTCTCAAGACAAAACTATGGAGCTATATTTTCCAGGAGACTACCCCTTATATTTTGATGTCAAAAATTTAAATCTTTAAAAAAAATAGGTATGTTCATTCAGAGCATTTACATTATTGTGTCCAATTCTGTAAACTTTTTTAATAGTTCATACTAATTTATTAGTATATTTGCAGTCACTCCTTTGAACAACTTTTATCGGCATTTAGTGAAAATCCGGAAGTTAAAACAAAAGTTTTCAGGGTCATATTTTTTTTGAGCACTGTTCTCACTTGCAATTTGCACAAAAACATAAATTTAAATTATTTGTACAAACATTTCCGCATGAATAATTTTTTTCTTGACTAAATAATACAACAAACACTGGTTCATACAGTGGAAAAGCAACCAGATCCTACACAGAACTTGTTTTGAAAAGAATTATTAAAAGAAGGATTTAAATAAATATGATCAGTATGTAATTATCAGAATATACAGAAAAATGTCAGTATCATACAGCACAAGAAAATTAAATTCACATATGATTTCATGAAAGTTTACAATCTTTTAAAACATGACAAGTTTTATAATGACATAATAACTTAATGATAAACAGTAACAAAATACATCATAATTTACAAAATAGAAACATTTAGTGAAATAAGCTAGCTGATATGGAATAACTGAAAGCATTAAATTCACGTAAGACAGCATCTTAGAACACATAAAAGCACCAATAAATTGAATTGAAAAGTAAAAATGAAAGTGGGAACATCACTCGGGCAAACTTGTCAATTTTGTTAATATCTTTGATTTTTGGAATATGTGCTTTCAAAGCCTGAGCACCTCGTTTTAAACTACTTAAAACATATGGTTTACGATGTCTGTCTGATGAACGATCAAGAGATTTGCGATTGAAACCTTGGGAATAATAACTTCTAGTCCTTCTAAAAGATGGTGGAAAAGAAGCTTCTGAAGAATATGTTGTTTTATTTTTTCTACGAAGATAAGGTATAGGAGAAACTCTGACATCTTGCAATTCAATTATTTCTTCATTCTAGAAAGAAAATTAAATGTAAGACTAAAAGAGTTAAACTTTTTTTTTGTAACTGTTTAACATCATGAGATATAGTTGCAACTATAAAGCTAGTTAGTTTGTTATAAGTTTAGTTTGTTATAAGTTTAGATTCTTATAAGTTTAAATCATTAAAAGTTTATTAAGTCCATTATAATTTTTTTGTTTTTTTTTAACTTTGAATAAAACATTGTATCAACCACCATTGTCTTTGTTGCCAATTAATTTAGTTTATGTCAAATAGTAATATCACTAAACATCAATACTTTTTCATTTTTCAAAATTTTGAAACTCTTATCTGCTACATCATTTAAGAGAAGTGTCAGATACATTTTATTTTCAGAAATAGAAGAAAACAGAAATTAATGCTAAATCTGAGCCCAGATTTCCCTTTAAACAGGGAAATGTCTAAAATAAAGTTATTATTTATAAAAATAAGATAAATTGTTCTCAGACAAGGATTTTATAATATTAAATTTATAACTAACATAGATCGCAACCATTGTTTCTTTTAAACTCAATATCCTAAGAGGATTAAGCATTTCTTTATCCCATTCGATAAGCTTCATAAAAAACATTTTTATACTTGTACTTATAATCCAGATAATTTCATTGGCTAACAACCAAACTGTTAACACTATAAACTAATTTACCAAAAGAAGCATTCTCATAAAATATTTTTATATACTTACTCTTTAGTGAAAGGGATCAATTAGTAGATATTTGCACTCTAATATCTTCAATTGATTTCTCAATTACTCTTTTTTAAAATATTTCTATTTGATGAAAATAAAGCAGTTATTAAAAGTTAGCAATCTAAATGGCTTTATAAATAAAGCTTACTTTAGCAACTTCAATATTTCGTGCACATCCCTGTCTCATATTACACTCTAAAAAGTAACACATATGATTTTGGTATAAATTAATCAAAATTATCTCTTTAAGCATACTTAGGTATGAAACCTCTATCATGAAGTTACTTTTCCTAACAGTCCATCTTAAACTCGTACATTGAGACTGAATGAACTGATTGGGACTGACTGACTCATTTTTGTCAATTTTAAGGCATGTCATGCCAGCTATGAATCAGACAGGCTTATGAAATAGACAGACTTTTTGTTATGAATGAACACGTTTTAGTTTGTTCGCAAAGAACATTCAGCGTGTTTGCCAGAACAACTTACAAAGAACATTCAACTTCAATTATTAGGCATGGTTCTGTGTTTCAAATTAAAAATAATTCTTTGGCTATGATTATCCTACAATGTTCATCTTAATTTGTGATAAAACCTATGAAAGTATTTTATTTTTTAATAAAAACCTTTTTTTAGATTTTAATTAAATTATAAAATAATTTAAATGCTTCATCTTTACAAGTGTAAGGAACAATATAGGAATATCTAGGCCTGATACCTAGCACCCAAAACTAACAAAAAATATAAATGCATTGTTGAGGCTTACAAGCAAAAATTTGTTTAGAACTAATTTTTAAAACATCTATTTCCTGAATTACAAATGACCTAAATTACTATTATGCTAACATAGAATGCAAATTTGAAAACCTAAAATGCAATTAGCTCTATGTTAATCTGAAATTCAACATTTTTCATTATCATCAAGCATTTCATTAATATTCATTTTCAAAGTAAGTTGTACAATGTTTTGTTTCACAACATGTCAATAAAATAAACTATATCAACAAAAAGTAATTTTAATTGATTTATTTAAATTGAACTTACATAAAACTTTATTGCAATTCCTGAGCAGTCTATAATTACATATAGCTTAACTTAGCATTCTTAGTACAAAAAAGAATTTCTTATTTATGTAAATATTTGCTTGTTCTGGGCATGAGTAGAGCAATTAATAATCTAAATTTCTATTCATCATTTGGGAAAATATTGCAGACAATATAGTTTCTACAGCAATAGGATTGAACTAGAATGTATATTCAGAGTCTTAAAAAAAAATGAAATTACTTAAACAGGTTTCCAAATTTTTTTCAAATTTAAAACAAGTAATACTTTTAAAACAGGTAAACAATTTAGTAACATTTATTTTAAAAAATGAAATATAGTATGATGATGATGGGAAGTTTTTAAATTAATGGTAGCTTATTTCTGATGCATCATAAATTCTTTCCTCTCATATAAACCGATTTCAACATAAACTAAAGCAGCCATTTTTCCTGATTAAAATTCTTTGCAGTAGCGCTATAACAATTGATTATACAATTGTAAACAGGAATTATTTTAACTATGTGATAACTTATAGCTTTTAAAGAATATTGTTAGAATTTATATGCATTTATTTAAATTATGGCTAGTGGCTAAGAAAATTAGCATAAATCATCTTTGTTAAACTAAGATAAAATATATTAACATAAGCATTAATAATTATGATATGCAAATCATTGAGCGAATTTTGCATATTTGATGCAATAAGTGACATTTTCAAAATTGTGGCAATGCATGTGCAATTTATTGAGATATTTCAGTTGCAAAAAAAAAATTTAAATAAGAAACATCATTTGAACTGACATAAGAAATGATATTCCTATATACCTACAAATCATTCATCCAAAACAATTAGCATCACTGAGGGAGTTAAAGGTGATGCAGTTTTCAGACTTATCACTCTTAATAAGGAAAAAAGAAAACAATTTTGGCCTTTATAACCCAAAATATTTTTGTTAACTGCAATATTTTTTGAATTTGCAGTTGATAAAAACATTTGATTTTTCCTAAACTTTCAAAACACAGCACCCAAAAAAGATCAAATATTCCCACTAGACATCACCAAGGTCACCACTACAAAATGGATAAAAAATATTAGGAAGGCCAAAGCATTCATTTCATCATCTAAGTTTTATTTTCATTTTCTACTTCATGGTTGCTAAAACTCAATGAAGTGTAAAATACATATGCTTGACATTTTTGCAAACTGGCTTCAGTTAAAACTTTTCTTGAAGAATTTAATAAAATGTAATTGAATTAATTAAAAAATAATATTACATCATAATAAATTAATGATACAATCTATTATGTAATTGTAACACAATTAAACTAAGAAGCAAATTCTTTTTAATTTGTTAAATTGAATTTTAGTTTTTAGAGAATATTTAGATTTAGATAAAAAACTAAAACACATCCGTTTAAATTTTAATAGCACAATATCTATATAATTACCTCAGCATATCAATAACACTATATGTATTTGGCATTCAATTAAATCAAATATACAATATTATATTTTACTGATAGCAATCTAAGATATATCAAGCTTTATTTCCTTATATCAAGCTAAGATATATCAAGCTTTATTTCCTTCTATTGTAATATCCCATTTCCAGCAAATATTACATTGTAGATAACCAATCTTTTTCTGTTAATTCTATCATAATTATACGACTTAGAAAAAAATAAAATGCTATATACAAAATTAAAAGTAGCTAGTTTCAAAGTCTTCCTTTAAATTTGCAGCACATGAGGAAATTGGAGCTAAATTTAAAGAAGCTATAGCGGCTTTTTTGCATTTATTAAGAAAATCAATGGCAAATACTTGCTTGTGATAGAATTTAGAAGGTCTTGTTTTAAACATTAGCATGCTTTCTAAAAATTTGATTGATATAATCTTTCAATACTGAATACAGTTCTTCCTTATCAAACTAAAAATAATCTCACATTCTGCTTTGGAGTGAGGTATGAGTAGAATAGAGGGTTTGCTAGTTTTTCAAATTTTAACATAACATTATCTTTCAGTTGACTAATCATTATCCACTGCACATCAGTTTGTTTACCTGAAACAGTTATTTCTTCAGATCTTTTAGCTCAAGCCAACATTTTTCAATTGGGAAATTTTCTTCAACAGGGGAATTTCTTTTTTTGAATTTTATTTAATGGTTTTATAACTTTTCATTTCTTCTTGGTTTTATAACTTTTCATTTCAAAAGAAAAGGGAACAAATCTACATAACATTTGACACTAGCAAAGGTGGAACTTTTAATTTTATTCAAATCAGCAATTTCACACTTCAGCATATTATTAGTTATAGAGAATTTCTAGGAAAAGTATTCACATACAGTTACAAAGTATTTTACCACTGCTACCTAAAACTATACTAGCTCCTCTTTTGAACATTTTGTAATTAAATCTAATGCAGGTTTAAGGTATTTTGAGTTCATGAAATGTATGTTGAGTTATTAAAATGTTTTAAGCCTTTTGAGAGAACTCTTTTAATAAAGCTAGATTCTTAATCAATAAATCTAGTCTTAATCAATGAATTTCTGGGGATGCTGACTGCAAATTCCCACTTATTTTCTGAAACGTAAATATGGTGCTTAATAGAAATTAACTGTAACTTTTATTTAAATCAGAAGATAGAAACATAAAAATTTCCCCGTCTTTTGATATAACTAAATGTCATATAGTTTGACGTATTTTTTTTTAAAAAATATGAAACAAAAACTTGAACTACTTTTTCTAGGAGCATAATTTTTCTTCTTTTTTTTAAATATTTCTTTGAATCTCGCTCATTTGTAACAATGTTTCATTTTTATAGACATTTTAGCCTCTGTTTTCTCTGCAGGTACAAGTTTATCCCTCAATTTATATTCTGTGCCACTATATTCTCAATAACTTTTGGTATTTTGTATAAAAGCAAAGTAAAATGTACACAGCAAGTAATTTCAGATTTATAAAAACTCATGAGTGGCTACCATTGATATACCAACTATATTAGACTTTATCTTAGACGATCAATCGACATATATTTCAGTAATTTTTTAATGTCTTTACCATACAATTCTGAGAATTTCGCAACTGATTATTTCTGATTAACACACTTTTCCACGTGAGAAATATCTATCAAAGAGCCATTTGCCTTAACAGGGAAAGTTGTAGCAGCTTTTTTTAAGAAAGCTATAACAAATAATATGGCAACAGCATCTAATAGGTACAGTGTTCTCTTTTTATTTATAAAAATAAAATTACAGATTTTTCCCCTGTATAAATTAAGAACTCAGTAGTTTTGAAAGGAATGTCAAATTTTGCATACACAATTTTTAAAAAAAAGGATTATTTTTCTTCTGTGGAGTTCCCATCCAAATCGGTACTGCTGATCAAATACATTGAATGTGTCTAACATCTATGTTAAAATAATTAACCACAAGTCGAAACAACTAAAATCACTTTAGTGTCTTCCCTCACATACTGCAGTAAATGCTTGCTGTTGCAAACATTTAATAATTTCATACATTTGATCTTTAGCTACAGACAACGCAGGCTGCTTTAGTTCTTCATTCATAATGCTTCAAAATTTAAGTTTATGGAAATATCTTCCCAAAAATTGTATGTCACAGAAGTAGTGAGAAAGATGTTTGAATTAACCAGTTTTCTGAAGGAGTGCAAAAATGGAAAGAGGCAAAAATAATTGAATCAGGACAAGTACAGGGAAGAGACTGAAATCAATGATGAATAGAGAAAGAAAAACAAATAAATAACAAATAATTAGATCTTATTTTCCTATGTTCTTAGAAGTGATAATTATTTATTTTTTTTAACTTCAACTAGCTAAGCCCCTTCTTTACTTCCCAAATCAGAATAGAATTTTAAATTGCACATATTAGCAAAATATAACAAAAAAAAAGCTTTAAGACTTGAATTTATCAGTAAGTCAGTTTTGGGTTTATCAGTAAGTCTGCAAAATTAAACATAAATCCATAAATTTTATGGATAATCCGTAGAAGTTTGGAAGTAAGTTCATGTATTTCAACTTTGGTTCTATTATTTAAAAAGAAATTTGTTTTTATCCAATAATTCTATTTATTAAAAATATAAGCAGAATGTTTGAATTTGTTCGCCTAATGAGCATTGTCACTCTGGTTTAGATACAAAATAAAATACATAAATTACAATATATTTTAATTTTTTTTTCTTCTATTTAATACTCAATAATTAAAACTTGATGCACTAGACATATACATAAAAAATATAAATCATTTAAAAGTGCTATTAGGAGAAAACATGTCATTTTTTTAATGAATAAAAAGAAAGCTTAACATTTACCATAGCTGGTTCAGCAAGAGCACTAGCACTGGTTGATTTTGCTGATTCTTTCAACTTTTTTGTTGCTTTTTTCTTTGCTCTAGTAGACCCCCAATAAGTGTAATTTACAGCAGCATACTCAAGTAAAGCGGAAAACACAAATATAAAGCACACAACTAAATATATATCAATAGCTTTCACATAGGATATTCTTGGGAGAGAAGATCGTACACCTGTGCTTATGGTAGTCATTGTCAGAACAGTAGTAATACCTGTAAGGATATATTGCAAAAAATATATCAGTTATTAAGAAAGATAACCCTTAATCCATTAATAAAAATCATTATCTCAGTCTTATCCACGGGAAGGAATAAAAATATTTAACATGACATTCTACTTCAATCGTAAAAATTTTAACTGAATATGCTTCTTTGTTGGAATCTTCTCTCATCTATAATTAGAATAAAGAAAAAATTATACCTCTATATGGCTCCTATGCACAGTTTCAAAATTTTTTTATTTAAATCAGTTCTGTAAAATCTATAATTTCAAAAATATTTTACATGCAACATCAGATCATTTTTATTGTCAAAACATTTTTTTTTTAAATAGTTAATAAAGACAAAAAGAGTTTATAATTTTTTCATGCAATCATAGGACAATACCTCCAATTAATATAGTCCCTCTAATTAATATAGGGAAGAAGAACAATTTCAAAATTGTTAATTAAGTTGTATTATTTATGTTATATGAAGTAAATAATCTGAAGAAATTTTCAATTTGACTAATTTCTGTGGTACTGCACTTAATGCTGCAAACAATAATTTAATTGCCTGAAAATTTTATGTAATTAGTGGACAGACACTCAATGTGACAGATTTAATTTTTGAATTATTGAATCAAACTTGTTATTTAAATCATATTATCATTATTGAATAATTGATCAAACAAATTTTGATGCGAAGAAGTTGTGTGTTAAAAGTCATAAGCATGATTAAAAACCTAGATTTATGATTATTCCCACAATTCAGGGACTAACTATTTATTAAATGACAATTTAAAAAAAATAATAAGTTGTTAAAAGTGAAGCATCATGATCAGGCACTTGGAAGATATTATGGCGTCATCGATTCATGTTTAAAGAATTGCTACATGATAAAAATTTTAGTATTTTTTAACATCAAATTCTCTTAAATAATTGGCTCATTGAAAAATTTTATTTGTGCATATTTAAATATTTAGTGGACATATTTGTTAAAGAAAAATTCTACCAAACTAACTTTAGTAAATCATGAAAAATCTTAAAAATTATTTTTTAAAAATCCTAGAAATAGGTGAAAATCTGATTGGTAACTTTCAGTAGGCACAAATAGTATATACATTGTATATATAATGTATATACTTTCAGTATATACATTTAAGTAATTCTGAAATTTTGAAATATATGAAAATAAAGCCAGAGTCTTTGAGTGCTAAAAAATGGAAAAATCTCATAGCTGCAGTATATTTTATAATCTTCTTTAAATTCCGTAAAAATATTCCTTTAAAAAAAATTTTATTTTGTATTCAAAGTTTCTGAAAACATAATATATTGCCGAAGTATTTTTTTTAATTTCAATGAAATTATAAATCCATAGAAATATTAAATTAATGTTAAGTTAAATGAAATCAATATTTCTTTTAAGAAACAAAGTAGCAGAAAGCGTATTTTTTTCTTTTGTTATCAACATCTGCTTTTCTTTCTTTTTTTTTAAAGACTTTTTAATGAGATACTTTTTTTTAATGATTTTAATTAAAAATGTACATAATATCACATATGTTTTAATAACACATAAAAATCAAATGTCTACTTGACTTACAAGCTATATCTGTCAAACTTAATCAAAAAATGTTCCAAAAAGTAATAAAACATTTTGAAAATTAAAAGCGTTGTAACAATCCAGTCATGAGAATGCTGGAAAAAAAATAATTTTTATTATAAACTTAATTTTAATTATTTTTTATTTTTTTAATTTTTAGAACTTTACAGTTCAATAGTTTCACTTTGAAATGAAACAATTTATTTTTATGTATAATTTTTTCTAATACTTAAATCTTTATTTGTTCATCAAATTATAGACTATTATTTTATACACAAAAGTAACATATATAAAATGAGTAACAGCACTTTATCAAGGGACAACTGTCTGCTAATGATGAATGAAGAGCTGCATCCTTGATGAAGTGCTGTTTTTGCGAGATGTTTAGATTTTTTCTATTTTTGACAATTCTGTTTTAGTGATGAAAGCACATTTAAAATTTTGCAGAATAAAGCGTTGTTTGTGCATCATCGTCCTGGAGAAAAGTATCATCCTGATTGCGTGCTGTTAAGCATCCTACAAAAGTGATGATCTGATCAGTCAACAACAGCAAGGGTACTGGCGTCTGTACATGGTAAAAAGTATAATGAGGCAAGATCAGCACAAAGAAGTCTTATAAAATCGATTGATTCCACAGCTCAGAGAATGGTTTCCAAATTGGGAACCATTCATTTTTATGCAAAATGGAGCTCCCTGCCACACAGCACGGTCCGTTAAAGCTTTTTAGGAAGAGCAAAATATCCCTCTACTGTGATCACAAACGAAACGCAACTCTTAGAAAGGATCATTTATGTAGGGAATCATCATCCTCATTTGCCAGGGATTGTGTATATATATACAGTCAAACCCCGCTATAGTGAACCCTCAAGGGACCGAAATTTTGGTTCACTATAACCGGGAGTTCACTATATCCGTTACGCAGGCAATTTAACCAATGGTCTCCAAACTGCTCCCTTTTATTACACATTATTCAAATAAACGACTGAAAAATATTATGTAGTAGCAAAAAATGTGTTATTTTTCACTACTCTTCGTCTTTGTAGCGTATCTACCACTACAAAATTACAACTGCATTTCACTAGTATATAAGACATGTTAACTCGACTCTATGTCGGGGTACCTTTTCATAGATGAGGGTTGACATGGTCTGTAACTACTTTCCCCCACATTGGTGACCCGGACGTGATGTGAACACGCCTACCTTGGCAAAAAACGCCCACTTTGATCTGGATACGCTTACATCGGCAGTAACGCCTACTTCGTTGGATGGTCCACATTGAATAGTTGACTTGCTACTTGTGACTGCAACATTATCCACCTCCTCGCACTGTTGCTACTCAGTCTCGAGCACACAACGTTGGCCTGCATACACTCGACTGCTAATGGCAACACAGGAGCGACTACGACCCTGAAGTTAATACACCTCTCACATTCAGCACTCAAAAAGTACGGTGATCTTAATACAGCTCTCCCGGCTCAACCGCACAAAAACAGCAATGATTCAACTACTGGTATTCATTCATCGAATTCTATCACAGATATAATTCTGGTGGGGGAGTACTGTAGCGTATCTACCACTACAAAATTACAACTACATTTCACTAGTATATAAGACATGTTAACTCGACTCTATGTCNGTAAGATTGGATTAGAAAACAGTTTACGGTAAGAAATATTTAGCATGCATGTTTTCAGCAGTTTTAAAATTTACTTACATAGAGTCAACAGGCACTTATATTTTGAAAAATATAATTTAAACTAAACATTTACACATCTTTATCAAACAACTCATAGCCAATTTTACAAAAACAAAAGAAAGAAAAAACAATTTGTTCTTTATAGAATTTGAATTCAAAATAATTCTCCAAAAATAATTATAAGTACAGGTATAAAAAGATTAAAAACATTAGGAATGATGTGTTAATTCTAAACTGTTACAAAATAGTATTGGAATGTTAACATTTACTAACAAGGAAGGTACAGGAACTGCCATTTGTAAACAATTTGACTATTTTGGTTTGGTTATGGTAATATGGTAAATTGTTAAAAATTTACAACTAAGTTGTCGTCAAATATACAATTGTTAGGATCATTTCAAAATTTTTTTAAAAACAAGCAAATAACTGAAAGAGTTTCCATATTGAACAATTGCTGATCTCAATCATCTATGAGTTGAAATAGGAGTTAAAGCAAATAATATATCGAATAACATTTTGCAAAGGAAGAGCTTCAGATATTAATATACATGTCACATAAAAAGCTTCAATTAATCTTTCTATGTTATTCCTTTTCTGTAAATCCCTTTCTTAATTTATTATTCAAAAAGAAACGCTTTCTCACACTTTTAAATTCACATCCTGCCGGCTTATGATGGTGACAGTCATGTGAGCAGGACAAACAGGCACAGGATTTAAAACAGAGCAAATTAATTTTATTTAATCATTATAAGATGAATGACAAGAGAGAGTGTGTAACAAACTTGTCGTGCTGTTGCATAAATGTTAGGGAAAATCTTGAAAGGAAAATTCGTAAAATGTCTCGATTTAGGGAATAAGGGTAAACTGTGTAATTTTAATTGGTGTATCAAATAGGTAGTGCGATTCCCACAAAGAGTAAAAGGAAAAATGTCTTACTTTTAATTAATGCATACTTGAGCCAAAAATAGATTAAAGGACAGGATGTGAATTTAAGTGTGAGAAAGCAGTTCGTTTTGAATAATAAATTAAGAAAAGGATTTACAGAAAAAGAATAACATAAAAAGATTAATTGAAGCTTTTTATGTTACATATATATGTGTGTGTGTGTGTGTATTAAATAAAATGTAGAAAACAGTAAAGCTATCAATCAAATCTGTTAGAAAAATTTTGCTTGTCCATTTTGTCAAGTACAAATATGTCAAACATAGATTTATATCAATAAAGTTCAATTTTTTTTTCTCACCCGTCAAATCATTTAACAACTTTCAAAATTAGTTGTACTACAAAATTCAGTTTTTATTTAACTCACAGGTTTATCTTTTAAGTAAAAAAAAGTACAGTCAAAATAAGCATAGAAAAAAAAGGCTGGGAAATCAGTAATATGTGTATAAAATATAGCTCATAAACACAGAACAATTGCAGTTTGATGTCCCTTATCATAACAAAATGTTACAATTGAAGCTTGAAAGTAAAAATGTACTGATAATGTTTCACTATTATAAATTAGGGAATTTAAGAGAACTTCACATGAAATTAAATTGGTTAAAAAATAAATTAACTATCCTAAATATTTGACTTTCTAAAGTAAAGTAAAATACTTCTGTGACTAGTAACTCACATTTTACCATTGATTGAATTCCTTCAACAAATGTGTCTTGCATAGTGAACAGGATTTTCTCAACAAAATACTCTTTTTACATCTAAATTATTAGCATCACATATACTTATAAATAAGTATTTCAAAATTTCAAAATAATTGATACTTACCAAGAGCAACTCTGGCTGATGTAGCTTCATGATTAATCCAAAAAGAAACCCAAGAAAGCATAACTATCAAAATGCAAGGAAGGTAAGTTTGAAATATGAAATATCCAATGTTCCTCTTCAGTTCAAAGCTTAATGATAACCTCTGATAAGTACCTAAACAAAAATAAAGGGAGTATTTTAATACTTTTAAAATAAAAAACAATGCACAAGTACCTTTGATGAGAACAAATATGAAGATCATAATTTGGTCTTAAAATATGATCCTAAATTTAAAATTAGTAGCTAACAGGTAGTTAAAATCTGTTGCACAAAAACGTAGTACATGTAATTACATTTGGGTTCAAATAGTTATTTCATTCACCTAACCCTTAGAATTTACTTACAGTTACATAAAATAAAAATTTTCAGCTAAGCAATCTAAATTGTCTTTTCCGCAAATTTCATTTACTGTATAAAAAGTATTATAAGCAATCTTTCAAATAAAATCATATGTCATATGTTTAAAAGAATGATAGTGAAAATGAGGTCTAATATCTTTCTTAAAAGTAATCTTGAATTCTCTATGACTGAAGAAAGAATGACAGGGTTACCAATTCTTTTTTGAGGTGGTTCTAGGCATAATTTATGGTGAAAACAATAGTGAAATATTGATTAATTTTAATCATTGAGAATAAGAAGTATATATTGCATCCTTGAGTGAAAATCGGTCTTTCCTGTGTGCATTCCCAACCTTAGTATTTTTATTTCAATTTCAAAATGTGAATAAAGTACAATTAAATGAAATAATACTTGTACTTTCTTGACATAAAAAAATGACTTATAGTCAAATATTCCCTCAGGTTTATAATTCTTTTTTAAAGGGTAGCATGTTTTCGTCAACCTAAAACCGGCATTAAAGAGTCAAGAATTTATATTTGCTATAATTCTGTTTTGCGCACTCACAATATAGCGACCTCACATTATAACATATGTTTTCATTTTGAAATGGATTGTTATATAGTGTCAACTGAATTTGATTTTGTTTGATAAATTTAAACTAAAATGATTTTGACTTGAATGGCATGCACACGATTCAAACAGATGTTTTTAACACCAGATTCGCATATAATGAGTTAAGTTCTGGCCGCATGGAAAGAATATTTGCAGACTTTAATGCTTTTTCACTACCTTTGAAAAATCTTTAGCAAGTAGGGTAAAAATTGACAGCTATGAACTTTCGTTAACAGAGATATTTATAAAACAAAGATTTAGAAAATCAATGTTCTACTTTAATATTATTAATTGTTATTCAGTACTCTATTTATGATATTCTAAATAGTGAAATTTACAAACCTAAAGCAAAAAACAATTTTGAAATGATGCTTATTAATTATTACAAACTGTGGATCTATGCTTTTTAAGCCTTAAATCTTCATAATTTGGATATGGGCACATTTTTACATACTAATTTGAAAAGTACTTGAAAGAAAAATTTATTAGTCATCAATAAATTAATAATTTTTAACAGTTATTAATTTTTTAATGTGTTTAGAAATTTCTAAATGAACAAATAAAGTGCTTAAAGATGCTTTAAATAGAAAAATTGATTAAAATAATGAAATAAGTATTTTTTAAATACTACAACAGAAGATTTACTTGTTTTTAAATCTAAAAACCATGGCTGGTTTAAATAGACAATCTTATCTCCAATCCTTAATAAAAATGTTTTCTTAATGATAGTTATAGTAATCAAAGAAAATGATCAATATATTTCTCAATGTATTTCTCAAAGAAACCATTGTCCATAGAAATGCTTGTAGAAAAAAAAAACCTTCAAAACTTGGAAAACAAGTTCACTTTGGAAGAGAAAGATACAGAATTTACACTGTTGAAATAATAAAATCCTAGAAACTCTGCATAGAGATTTTGACAAAACCAAAAACGGAGCTGCGACAAAATTTTGAATAAATAAAACAATGAATACACAAGGTTTAGGCACAGCAACTAAGATCTAGTTTTAGAAAGCAACATATAAATACAACATATAAAAATTGAAAAGAGGAAAAGAATTGAAATTTTGAGGAAAACCGGTTTAATAAGAAGTTTTCAGGTTGTTAAACAATGCATCCTCAAATAATATACAATATTTTGAATAAACAAAACAATGAATACATAAGATTAAGCATGGCAACTAAGATCTAGTTCAAGAAAACAACAAATAAGTGCATAATATAAAAATTAAAAAAGTGGAAAAGAAATGAGGTTTTGAGGAAAATCAGTTTAACAACAGAATTTCAGATTATTATACAACACATCTTCAAGTAATAAGAGATTATGTTTGACCTACCACCACGTCAAAGAACTCTGTTCAAAGCACAGATTAAAATTTAAATCTGGATTATTTTTTTTAAGCTTACAGATATAAATAAAATTAAAATTGACTGCATAATGCAAGAATTAGAAGATAGTCTTCAAGAGGAAGATTTTATATGGAATCACCTAAAGCCTATGTGGAAGCCCGGGAATCGACAGTAAAAAATAAGTGAAACAAAGCCATAGAAGACAAAAATTAGATGATGAAAAATAGCAATGTGTAGACGGTTTAACTATCTGCAACCGAGGGATATACAGTGCTTAAAAAAAAATAATAGAATCAAGAAGCCTCAACTCGTAGCATGAGGATTTAAACAGGTAAAAGTAAAAGATTAGTTTAACATTTTTATACCCATCGTTGAGTTCGTGGTAAAATAAATTTATTTCAGTAATACATTTTTATTTATTTTATTGCTAAGCATTTTAGGTTTGTAGTGAGTAGAGTAAGAGTTAGACATTAAAAGGGATTATCTGTATTGTTAATAAATATTCGTTACATCCCTAATTATCACATGTTCACATAAATTACTGGTTATTGCCACATATTCAAGTGGGCATAACAAGTATCCCATTACATTTTACTGAGACTAAGCATTTGTTTGAGTAGTCATTACTTTTTAGTAAAACTAAGTTAGTTGATCTTGAGAGAAAGAAAATTAATGTTAAGTATACTTTAAACTCTTAATGAACAGCTTCAGTGGCAAAAAAAACTTATTAAACTCCACCACAACCACAGCATTGGAATATCAAATTGAAGGGAGAAACAAAACAAGTACTAATAATAGGCAATTTGTTCTACTTATTAAACTTATTAGAGACCTATTAAACTCCACCACAACCACAGTATTGAGGTACTAAATTGAAGAAAGAAACAGAACATGTACTAATAACATGTAATTTGTTCTAGATTAATAAAAAGGGACCCCTCCCCGACAAGAATCAGTAAGATATCAGAATATCACTTAAATTCAACACTTTTTTCTGATCAAGGCCAATTAATGTTTAAAAAGTAGAGATATAAAAAAATGTCTAATATAGATAACATATTTTCTAAAATTTTATTATACTAAATACTACTGTAGAAACATTTGGTTAAAATGTCTCTAGTTTGTTCGAGTCTGTAAACATACTTAAGTCTTAAAACATTTTGATCAATTTTCTCCCTTTATTGAGTATAATTGCAGATCAATGAGTTTTGATTGTATTATGTTGAAAATTTATCATAGTACAGAATTCGAGTTTTATTATACTTCAATTAACCTCATATTGTAATTTGAACCACTTCATTATTGCAGCACATTTGTTTAATGAAACCATGCCAGATGCAACCTCCTATTTTTCCCAAAATATTTTAGTATCCCAACTTTCTTCCAGTTATTTCATATTTTTTATTATTTAAACCATATATGTTTTTAAGGATTAGGGAATTGTTACTCTAAGCATAAATTGCTTGGAAAATAATTACTTATATAATATAATCAAACTATTAAACATAGACTTTTGGCCCTAAAGAAGTCAATTTTTCTAAATAATTATGAATGTAATCAATATTTCCCTTTGAGATATTTTCATACAAAATAGTTGATCTAAAACTACATTACAGACTTTTCATCAAAGAGAGCTACACATTTTTGCTTATTTCTTTTCCAGGTGAATAGTACACTATGAAAACAAAATTAATGCAAGATGAACAATGTATGCAAGATGAATGTTTGTTAGTTAAATGACAATAACAGTTTGCAGCAGAAAAAAGCTAGTAAGTCACTTAGTTTCAGATTTGTTAATCTTGAAATTCCTGGCATTAAATACCTAATTTAATGAAATTTCCATCAACAACTAATATTACAATGCTGAAAAGAATAACCATTACGGTATTGCAATAAAAATATTCAATGAGAGTGAAATTTCAGGTTTTCTTCAGTCAGTTAAAAAGATAAGCATCAAACAATAATTCTAAATCGAAGATTTTCATTAAGCGTGCTTAAAAAATTTTGTCTTCTTTTACTTTATGTGGTAAATTAAGTCCAACTTTAAAAAGTACACTTAAAAAAGTTTTAGGTAATTCTTCAGATTTATTTTATTTTATTTATTTATTTTTTTGCTTAATTTCTTGGTGTTAGTTACTTAACATAAACTATTTCTCCTCTCAAAAAATGACTACTAATAGATATTTTAATTTGCTTAGATCTTGGATTTCTAGTTTGTTTTTGAGTAAGTAATCAGCTTTATTTTTTTAGTGATATTCCCTGAATAAAACCAAATGATAAATATTAACTAAAAAATTACTTTATATTTTAATTTATAAATACAATTACATCAAGGTAATTTCTCAAAACCAAGTTATAATAAAATAATTTGATATTCTATTGCCATTTACATTTGCTTTAAACCATAGCATAAATAGCTTTACTTAGTTTACAAATCATATTTTCTTTACCTTGAACTTCAAATTCTCTAGATTGACTCATATATAAAATTTTTGTTAAGTTTCGATGCTAAATTATGAAGTGAATCAAATTTGTACTCAAATTTGTTATTTTATGTACTTATTGATTCTTTATCAATAATCAACTAACACATTTAAAAAAAAAATATTTTAGAAAGAATTTTTAGTCACACCCAAATAGAAACACTAGCATTTGAAGAGTACTTTCTTGATATATTTTTTGGAAGAAAAGAGAAAAAACACAAATGCATTTAAATAAAAAGTGTGAAAATATTTCACAATCTAATACATATTTCTAGAATTTACTGTCAAAATTTCATAACTTTTTATCTTTACAGATATATTTCCTTTTACT